CCGGGAAGAGCGCAATGATGGTGCCAACTTGGGCCAGTGAAGCAACGTCCTCCACAACTAGACTGAAGAACAAAACGACAGCAACTTGTCTGTTCCCATCCCCCCAATTCCCCAATAAAAATCTTTAAAAAAAAAACAAAAAAAAACCTTCCTGTAGTTCACATCTTTTGATTTGGCCTTTCCCTTCCTGAAATTCATCCACACGCCCAGGGCCTTCAGATAAAGGTTTATACTGAGAAATGGAAAATATCAGCAAGAGGCAAATGGTTGCATGATGACAGCTCAGCCACTGAACAGACACCGCACAGCCAGTGACATCGTGTCAGGAAAGAGCACTCAGTGCATTTGGGGACGCTCACCACTGTCCAGGAAACAGGCAGGTGACAAAACCCCGCCTGCTGCCACACTGTGTCGCCATTCAGTCAACAGGGCGGTTTGGCTGGCCTGCTGCCAAGCGTGTCACCGCCAGAGACACAGGGAGCCACACACAAGCCCTGCCTCGGGGAGGGGACACACCGGGGCTACCCCTTCCTGTTCACTTGCTTCATCGTGAGGATGACCATGGATGAGAGTAAAGCAGGGAACAGGGCTGAACGGTGGGTGGGTGTCAGCTCCCAGCGGGGCTGTCAGGAAGGTCCTGCCATGAGATGTTACTAATCACACGTCCCCCGTCATTAAACGGCCTTCCCAGCTCCCATAATTCATTGGAGCCCAGAATTCCAGGCAAGGGACCTGGCACACGACGTCGCCCAGCCCCAGCACATAGGTGTCCCTGTGACAAACCACCACGACACACACTGTGCACAGAAGTTAATTTCTGCACATACTGTCCTGGGACAGGTGCCCAGGGTCAGGGTGCCCAGCGTTTGGGTGGGCGTGGCAGTTTCCTGCAGCAATTTCGTGGAAGCCAACACGTTGCCAAGCCCCACAGAACGCTTCTTATTAAACTCAGCTTCTCTCTTCTTGTCAGTTCACTGCACGTGTTTCCATGGGGGCTTAACCACCCGTGTGCCCTGCTGAGACAGGCCCACTGGGGGGCACAGAGCCCAGGAAACGCCCTGTTCGGATAGCCTTCCCTCCCTGAGTAGACAGGGCCAGCCTGACGACCTGTGGCGTGCTGCCCGCGGCAAGTCTGAGGAGCTGGAGCTATTGTTCCGGATGAAGAGGCCAGCCAGCAATGAACGAGAAAGTCCCTGACAGTGTTTTAGGAGAAACAGATGCTAAGGCAAGACCACACTGTAGACAAAAGTGTGGCAACACTGTTACCCCCATGCGACTGTTGTCAAAAATGACGTGTCACCTGAAAAGGAGAACAAGGAAGTAAATCTTATCTGCCTCTCAAACTCGTGGACAGATAGGTTTTCACTTGTTTTGAATTCATTTGGTTGCATATATAAACGCAACACTCCCCAGCTAGTTCACAGAGCGACTGAATATTATCAGTGGAGACAGAAAGCTAATGACCAATATCAAAAAACTTATTTTCATAGTTGGTGGATGAGCAGAAGGAAGAGGCCCCAGGTCTCGGTCTCGGCGACGCTGATATTAGGCCCAGACCTGCTGTGGGCGCAGGACCTCAGCCCAACCTCCCGCAGGCGTGAGCACCTGTGAGCTTCCAAACCCACGTGTGCACGCTGCGAGCAGAGTGCATGCTGGGAGGCCGGTGCCGACGGACTCCTACTGCTGAGTGTGCAATAGAAAAGGGGGGGCCCGTGGGGGGCTGCCAGCTGCTCCGCATCCTCCTCTCTGCCCCCCGCCCCCGCCCCGGGGTCAGGCATCTATCAGCATCTCTGCACGCCAGACTGCACACGGCCGGGCCTGAAAGACGATGCAACAGACGGCACCGACGCAGGCAGATAAACGCCGCAGGTCCTGCCGCCCGCGGAGCCAGCCAGGAGGGGCGCGGAGCCAAGGACAGCCCTGGGACGCCAGCTGCTCCCCAGAGAGGCCCCCGGAGCTGCCTGGGAGGAGGGGCAGCAACTCCACCAGGCGTGCGGCTGATAAATAATTATCATAACTGGCTTTCCCAGAGGACGGCACAGGATCCCTGAGCTGAGTACATAACAGGGAGATGAGATAGGCACAGCCAAAAGCCAGAAAAAACTGCTAAGCCAGCTAAGAGATAAGCCAGAGATGCTATCCTGCAAGGATTACTTATAAAAATCGATGTTTTAAGCATAACAGTAATTAACCGTGTGCTCTCCTTGCAGACGGCCAGAGGAGAGCAGGCCAGCAGCTGACAAACCCCAGGGTGCCTCCTCTGGGTCCTTTGCTGCCGTTTTCACCATTTCTGCCATCATCCACCTCCTCTGATGGCCAGACGTGCAAAGAACTGTGTCCACACGTCTTATCCTGAGTCACCCCGACAGCCACGTGAAAGACAGCTTCTACTGTCCCTATTTGTAGCCAAAGGGAGTGGGGCTCGGTGACGTTTAAGAGGCCACGAAAGCTCCTGGAGAACAAGGGCCCCGCAGCTCATCTGACCGAGTCTCCTCCTTCTGAGACACCTGAGCAGACGGGGCTTGTGGGGAACTCGCTCCAAGGTACTGCAGAGCCCACCCTGGGGCCGTGTGCACAGCAGCCGCTGGCCACGCCTGACACAGACTGATCTAAACCTCCGTTGGCCCCAGCAACATGCAAGAGCCTGTGGCTTCTGTGTCACCCACTGTGGACTCAGCGCCCAAGCTATTGACACCCTCCCAGAACCTGTCTCCCAAGCTGGAACCCAGATAGTAGCTGGGTTTTGTCTTTCCCAGGATTCAACAGAGAGGAAGGAAGAGACAGGCTAGTGGCCATGGGAACTGGGACAATGGGACAGTCGGGGGCTTTAGAACCAGCTGGCATCAGGCTGAGCAGGCTAATTGGGCCAGCCCTGTTCAAGGTCACGATGCCCGCTCGGGGGTGCCCGCTCAAAGGTTGGATGGCGCTGCCTGCTCTCACCCGCTCCGGGGTTTTCTCCTCACTCTGGGTACGCGCTAGAGGACAGCCTGTTCTCTGCCCACAGGACCAGTCACTGCCTGTGATCTTCAGAGGCAGAGCTGGGAGCAGGCAGCGCTGGAGAGGACCGTCCCCCCTGGTCCAGGCCTCCGGCCACTGTGCCAGAGAAACGCTCAGCCTGGGGGACACGCTGGCATTGGCAAGTCACCAAAACCAGGCTGGGGGTTATAATGGCCAGTGGGTTGCAGAGTGGATAGAATGCTAACCATTTAACTTCTGCGCTTTTGCAAAAGAGCAGAAGCCTCCGCAGGGTGTCTCTGACGTGGGGAGTGCCGTGTAGGGGGAAGGCATGCAGGTCTCGGGGTAGCACAGGGCGTGGAGGGAACGCTGGGAGAGTCTTCTGCTGAGGAGGAAACTCCAGCTGACAAATGCCGGCTCTGCAGTAACTCTGCTGAGCCCCAAATTCAAAAGAATCAACAATCATTCATTTGTTGTGTCTGTTTCGCAAATGATTTCGGCTCCAGTAAAAACCCTTCAGGCGAGATGTCTACCAACTGGCAATTATTGCTGCAAAAATGATGGTTTGACCGGACAGTGACTCCAGTAGGCGGGCATGTACAGTGGGTTTCCCGGGTGGCGAGCCGGGGGCTTCCAGCGGGCACACGTGGGCAGAGGGGAAGCTGCAGAGACCAGCGTCCAGAGCACGGGACCTTTGTTCCTTCCTGTCCTCTGAGGGTGTCGTGTCCCCATGCCTGGACACACAGCTCCCAGGGACAAGGACACCCGTCAGTACGGAATCCATTCCTTTCAGGATGACCCCTGGTGGGCTCTGTGTGTCCACATGAGGCGCCAACACAAGGCACTGCACGTGTGTCTGAATTGCTGCTTAAGGAGGTGGCCTCTTGTTCCTGTCTGCTTTTCTTGG